GGGTCATGCTTCAGCCTTCCTGCTCATTTCTTCTTACTTGCTCCTCACACTTTAGCATGGCCCATAGAAACCACCGCGGTCGGTGGTGTAGCGACGGTAGGGCCGGCTGTACCCACTGCCCAGGTCTGGGTAGCCGAAGCTCCCAAATCCCAAAGAGTTGCCGGAGGTGAAGGGGACCCCCTCAGTGCTGAGGATGCTGCCCACGGCTGCAGAGGTGGTGGAGCCCACGGCGGTGTTCTGGGGGAAGGAGCTGAGGATGGGTCCGGGCAAGGTCACCACCACGGGAGAGGGTTGGATCACCACCCGGGAGTCCTGGCACTGCCTGACGCAGGGCTCGTTGCAGCTGTTGGCAAGTGGGGTTGGCCCACAGGGGTTGGGAGGACACAGGTCGTAGGAAGACATGTCTGTAGGACAGAGGAAAGTCTGAAATACAGAGAAGAAAGTAAATGCAATATAAAAGTTGTATCAAGTTTATAAAAGTCAGGTAAGAGGATAACACACATGAAAGTACCTCGAGGAGGTGGTCAGAGAGGTAATCACTTCTTAGATTAAGATCCACAGTAGGCAGTCTGAAAGTAGCATAGATGTTTGTCTTATTTTTATAAGGCTGCTGGAGGATGTCTCTGCTCTGCGGCTGGCCTCTGAACGGTGGTGCCAGTCATGGCAAAGTTTGCCCTAACCCTTACCACCAAAGGCATTTCTCAGTCTGTGGTAGGTTCCCCTTGCACTCTCTCGCTGGAGAAGGTGCAATTGTGACTGTGCCAGGAGACAGAGAGCAGCAGCTGAAGTTCTCATCATGCGTGGGACATGGCCCTAGCTGAACATCGACAAATAACTGGGTTTACTGCATTGAAAGCCTTCAGTTCATTTTTTCTTAAAAGTTTTTCACTCTTATACTATGCGCCATGCTGTTCAGTGGTAAAAATAAGATAAAAAATTCTGTTCAAAAATTAAGTCACTTAAGGAAACCAGACCCTAGCTGCTTTATAGATAAAAGCCTCAAGTTCTGTAAGGTTGGCTTCCAAAACCAGGTCATTTATATCAGTGTAAAGTCTTCTAAGTGCCGGAACTTAGTCACTAATAGCCCAGCCAGCAGCATTTGCAGAACTATAGAAAAGTGTTTGAGAAGCATCCTTTGCTCCTAAATGTCATATGTCCAGAACAGACAAACTTGCAGTGTAAAGAAGGATTATTTTCCCTGTCAGAGGTTTCTGCCTTGATTTGGATTCTGCTGAGATATCTGCTTTTTAGCCTGTGGAAAACAGGACTTGGGGATAGATCCTGGAGCTCAGCACAATTTATTATTTTTTTTTCTTAAGATGAGACTGTATTTCCAGCCAGGTTCATTGGCTAGCTACTCTCTCAGCATTGGTCTCTAAAATGGAGCACGAAGCTCCTTGTTTTGAGAGACAATATCGCCAGTATCCTCTAAGTCCTGTCTCGTTACACCCTGCTTCACAAGTAAATAAAACCTTTCTTTTTGATAGAAGTAAGCCTTTCTCATTTTCCTTCACAAAAGGAATAAAGCTAGCAATATTTATAAAGAACTAAGAATAACAAAAACAAAACAAAAAGCAGTCATCAAAGTAACAGTTTAGCATTTAAAAAGACACTGGGTAGATTCATACTTACCTGTTCGCCTGGGCGAATAAGGCAAGAGAAGGGGATGGAAGAGCCTTGTGTTGTACAGGGTTTTATATCATGTTCCAGACTGCCTGCAGACCAGAGACATGTATTATGCATGAAAATTATTTAATGCTTTGTACTTTTGCATGCAAAATCCGCCAAACTGATCAACCCTTTTTTTTTTTTTTTTCCTTTCGAAATCTCTTTTAGTATTACTTTATTTTTTCCCCTCCCTTTATTACATTCACATTCCAGTATAGGTGAAGCTTTCATCTTCACCGATGTGCACCCACTTAATTGCTTGGAAGACTGCAGTGACTCGTTTGAATTACAGCAGTAATTATGTTGCCTCCTAAGGCCAATGTACATTTTATATTTCATTTTAGTCATCAAGACACTGCTTAAGGGGAGTGTATGTGATGCATAGTCCTTATTCAAGACTTCACTCCTTTAGGTGAATAATCATTTAGCTCTGAGGTGGGGGCCTGGGCTCGATTCACAGCCATTTCCAATTCAAGGACTCAGCTTTTCCACAAGACAAGATGTATGATAAGTATTCCCAAATTTTGCACTTCTGCACTGTTTCAATCCCACACAAACGTATGGCTGAGAAAAGCACCCAATTTCCATCAGTATTGCAAAGGTTAAGGAAAATTAAGACCAGTGAGAATTGCTGACCAGAAACAATAAAATACGTTCTAGAGCAGTTTGGGCTAACCCACAGTTTTCCCAGTTTGTATGAATACAGCTAATACAAACACACATACGGCTGCATTTCTTTACCCAGCTGTAAATTCGAACTTCATTTTCCATGCCAAAGTCAAATAATCACACTTTTAATGAAAGAGCTTGATTATTTGATCTTATTACTTTGCGACATTTATGAACTGCCTCTCATTTTCAATATGATTTCTGTGCAGTCTCTCATCTGAGGAATCACCACTATTCCTATCTGAAATCCCAGTAAGTCACCAGGACGTGCAGCAATTTTCACATCAAGTTAAGTACAAACGTGCATGTCAAAGATTGCTTTCGTTTGTTCTTAGAGGCAGAGCTCTGCGTGAGCCAAGCTACGGTGTCAGAAGTTACACCCAGCAGTTCTCCCTTACATTTATCATTACATGATTTCTTTCAGCTCTGCAGCCTGCAGTGGCCTGCCCTGGCTGCACTCCAACCTGCTGGAAATACTTGCACAGATGGAAAATATGCAAAAAGCAGGGATCAGGTCTCTCCCCTTAGCACCACCATCCCTCAGGAAGAGATATGAATTAACTCTAAATGAAGAATGTTTTTGTACGTAGCGTGGTCTTGGTCTTCAGAAGAACAAAGGACTTCAAAGTTCACAGCAGATTTTCACTAATGGCTCAAATATGCAAAGTTTCACGCTACCTAATGTTCAAGGTACGTGACAAGATCTCAGCACTTGCATCACCTGGCTAGTAACTTAATTTCAAAGTGCGTGAGCAAAGATCACTCAAAGAACTTCACAAACTAATTTGAGGTAAACACTTTCAGAAACTTTAATTATTTTATTAAAAATTTTCATAGGTGATTTAAAAAAAAAATAGAGCCAAATCTTCGTCTTCCATAAAATGTTATAACTCTACGTATTTTAATGATTCTCCACAAGAAAATTCTCCTTTCCTTTTTTTTTTGGTAAAAGGACAGAGTCTTTTTCTTCCCTTTCCTCAAAATCTCTACTATCCAACATACTACCTGTAGTCTTTTTATATATCCAACATCCCTGTAGTCTTTTTATATATCTTGGTATATATATATCAGTGGTCTGATGGTAAAAGAATGTAAATCTTTCTTTGCACCCTGAAACTCCAGGTAGGAGTTATTGAGAGTGTGAATCACAACAGGATTACTTGAAACAAATATCAATATATGCTTGATGAGACACCCTGCCATTCTGTTAGGTCACAAAATGCTTCCAGCTTTGAGAATAATTTCCTGGCAGAAATATAGAAAGCCAAGTATTATGATGAGTTAGTGTGGAATCAATATGCATTTCAGCTGCAAAATTAAATATTTTCTTGATTTTTAGCTCTAAAGATATGTTCTTCTCCTCTTATTAGTGTCCCCAGTAGTATTCACATCATGTGTCTCCCTGGTAGTGATGATCTATGCAGTGATGAATTTCACCCAGAAAAAGTTTCAAAAGAAGGTAGGAGGGAAAGGAAAAAATAACAGAAGACTGGAGATACAATAAAGGCATAACTTTAATAATACCAAAGAGTGGATTAAAGTACTGCAAAGCAACAGGTTTCAATATGGGAAAAATTACACATCTCACAGTGAAGTATTCCACAGACAGAGCTCTTCTTTCAGGGCAGCATTGTATTTTGACAATCAAGTCCCATCTACTCTCTAAATTATAAGTTTTATACCAGGCAGTATCAAATACATTGATGCACAGCGGAACTACACACTTGATGAGAAATATATAGTATAACAAGTACAGGGGCCTCATTTTAGGGAATGTCTAGCTCCCACAGCTCCATTAACTTCAGGTGGAGTTGTGGGCATCTAACACAGAGTCTGAAAACCATGACCATGAACTCCGTCCTGTGTCGAGCCGTGCTTCAGTGTTCCTGCTTGCTCCTCACGCTTTAGCACAGCCCATAGAAGCCACCGCGGTAGGTGGTGTAGCGACGGTAGGGCCGGTTGTACCCACTGCCTAGACCTGGGTAGCCAAAGCTCCCAAATCCCAAGGAGCTGCCGGAGGGGCTGGGGCCTCCTCCAGCACTGAGAGCACTCCCAACAGCCGCAGATGCTGAAGATCCCACAGTGGTGTTCTGGGGGAAGGAGCTGAGGATGGGTCCAGGCAGGGTCACCACCACAGGAGAGGGCTGGATCACCACTGTCGAGTCCTGGCACTGCCTGACGCAGGGCTCGTTGCAGCTGTTGGCAAGTGGGGTTGGGCAGCAGGAGGTGGAAGGACACCGCTCATAGCAGGACATGTTTTTGGGACGGAGGTAAGTCTGAAATACAGGACCAGAAGTGAATGTAACGTAGGAGTCATACTACACTTACATTTACTCAGCTCAGGTACCAGGACAACAGGAACTTTCCGGGGATCCTTTTAGGAGTTGAGTAGGGAGTGACTTGAGAGGGAAACTGAATTCTTAAATATGGTACAAGAAGATGGATGGTGAAGTAATCCTCTCCCAGTTGTTGGTGATCCAGTGGAATAGCTGGCAGCAGAATAAAAGGATGCATACCTGTAACATTACTTTAATTTTAGTGTTTTTATTGGTTGTGTGTCTGGAAAGACACTACTGAGATCCAGCTACAGGTATTCAGAACATTGTAGTAGTAGTAGTAATTATGAGGAATACCTAGCCACAAATGTACTTACAAATAGAGTTCAATAGACAGCTGGAAAATGAAATGAAGAATTATATCCCAGGTTCCAACTTTGCTTACAAAGAGGTACAAATTTCAATATAGTTAACCATGCTTGAAGCTGAGACCTTTGGAGATCTTTCCCAGACAACTTATCCACAGACCTGCCATCTATAAGAAAGCCAGGAGTTCCGTGCATACTCCCTGTGTCTGGTTCCAACACACCAATAAACACAAAATTCACTGTTTCCTATGCCCATCTCAGTCTGTTGAGTGCTCAACTCTCCTTTTTTTCTTTCCCCTTGCCCTCACATTCACTGAAACCATTTCTCTAAACTTGCAGATGTCACTGCATCCTATAACATAATTTCAAAACTTAGCAACTATAAGACACCAAGCAGAACTTTTTGATGATATCTATCATA